AATGCAGAAATAGATTCAAACTAAGATAAGTTATACTATATATTCAAATGATTCATTTAGTTTGATTTCTGAAAACAGCTATATGGCCTTTTTTAATCATCTTTCGTTACTTGATAACTCAATTATTTCGGGTAGGTTTTTTTCGTCACTTGATAATTTAATTATTTCTAGTAAGTTTTCTTCATCACTTGATAACTCAATTACTTCAGATGCCTGGTTCTCTCTACTAGTATTTTCAGATATCCTTTTGCTATTTCCAATAGGCTTGTCAGATATTTCGGTTGGTTCTTTTATATGATCATTTTCAAGTACTAATTCGCCATTTCTATAAAATTTATATTGATTATTTCTTATAGTATCTATTTGTTCAACTGTTGTTTCTTTATACTGAACTTCATTTTCAAACACAACTTCTCCTATTTCTGTATTTTTTGTAAAGCCAGACATGGTGTCTAAGAACCAAATAGTACTCATAGATAGTGGTGTAGACTGTGTGGAAAACTACTGGGTTTCTTCAAATATTCTGGCAACATAGCTATGCTCAACACCGAAGTAAGTCTTATGTTCTTTAGTTTTATCACGCGCAAGCAAATTATTGAATGAAATTTCAGTTGACTCATTATTATGAATTAGAACACTATACAATGAACATATCTTTTTTTTTAGTTTCATTTATATTATAAGTTAGATTGAAGAAGCTTCTAACTTTAATGAGATGTCATTTAACGTATTTGTCTCTATATTTTTTGTTTATAATACTTTGAAGAGGTGTTATTTTTATAAAGACTGAAAATCTATTGCCAGTCTCATCAACTTCGACCAGAAAAGAAGCCCAAATTTTATCACTAAAAGTATGACATTTCGTGCTTTGGCTATATGTAGTAGACAGAATTTTTCTTTTCTGAGAATAGGAATTTGAAGCTTTTGAAGCTTTTGAAGGATTATATTTATGAGAACGTTTAGGTGGCATTTCGATATAAAACAAAAGTGCAGATACGTTAACTCCAAGAAAAATAAATACTTTTATATAGGAATCCTGGTATTAATATAGTACAATAACACAAATCTCTTTATTATGCATATCATTAATTCATGATGCAGATTTATTTTATTGTCAATATCACGATTACTATATTAAAATGAGACTTTATACACAAAAAATTAATTTGCTTATCAAAACTTAATTTAATATCTAAAATTAGCTAGATGACAAGTATGTTTAAAGCTCTTATTACCCAAATTTAGAAATGCATTATTATATTAATGCTAATTGTTTAGACTTTGCAAGATACCTTAATCTGTCTAAAATTAGCTAAATATGCTGGAAGATGAATTCTTGATAAATATATTTAAATCTTTTATTACTTGAATTTAGAAACATGTTATTATATTAATAATGCTAATTTATTTATCTTTTTTGAGTTAGTATCTAGGAGCCTATACTTTATAATGATGCTTACTTAATATACTTAGAATTGGTCAAAATGCAGAAAGAAAAATATTTTATTCTAATTTAGAAACACAGTATTATGTTATTGCCAACTTTTTAAACTCTCTTGACAGTATTGTCAATATACAAAAAGAAAAATGTTTAATGAGTATGTTTAAAGTTCTTATTACTTCAATTTGAAAACATGCTATTATGCTAATAATGCTAATTGTTTTTAAACTACTTGACGGTGTTATCAATATGCAGAAAGATAAGTGCTTGATGAGTATATTTGAAGTTCTTATTACTCTAATTTAGAAACACACTATTATATTAATAATATTAGTTTTTTTTAAACCCTTTGACGGTGTCGTTAATAATGCTATTTAAGTTGGCCCTTTTTGAATTAGTACTAAGAGTCTACACTTATCTAATGTGACTAATATGTATTTCAATAGTTCGTATTAATATAATTATAGAATAACTCAATATAGTAATACAAATATCTATCTGGTATTGTCAAAAATTTCTATATTTTATATATATTGATCAATCGTTTACCACATTTACTTAATATATCTATAGCAAGCTAAGTGCATAGGGCAAAGAACCGTGTTTATCAAATTCTTATCATTCTAATTTGGAAATATATTGAAAATATTTTATCTTTGGATTAGTATCTATAAGTCTACTTCATATATAGCAAGTACAATTTTTTTTTAGTAATTTGTCGTATTTAAAATAGAATATGTTCTAATATAGTAATATTGAAAGTTTATTTAGTAAAAAAATAATCCAAGATTTATTGCATTATATCATAGAACATATTTTGATTTATGCGTACTTTCAATTAGAGAATCATTAATGTATGTTGATGTATTGATGTTTTTGTATTTATTTTAAGAAATTACAATTAGCTTTTTGCAATCATTATTGAGATATAATTCCATATGTGTTATAATGACAGAAATTGGGGCTTTTGCATTATTATTACTAGAAAGACCTTATATATACAGTAGATAGTCAATATTCATAATTATGAGCTATCCAAAAAAGTGGTCTATAAATCATTTAAAATTTTTATCTATTACCTTTTTTTAAATAATTGTCTATTCGGTTGTATTATATTTCACTTATTTTTTATAACTCAATCGAAGCATATTCTTAAATTTGGTTATATCTTATATTTATTAATAAAAAAAACTTAATTTTAATAAATCGCGAGACTAAATTTAATTTTCATTGTCAAATGCAAATGCTATAATAATAATTTATTTTCCAATAGAAATTAAATTATATTCAACTTTTATCATTTAAAATTTATTGTGCATAATTAATTGTTAAATAATACAGTCTTAAATTTAAATAAGCATGAATGCAGTTTTATATATTTATTTAATAAGAGCTTTATTTATGCGCAATATATATATTAAAAAAAAAAAAAACATACATTAATTTAGTATAAATACAGATATAATACAATATTTGAAAAAATAAGCGTGTTATAATAAAAGACATATATTTATGCTATACTAATATCAAAGCAAACAATGATAATTCTCTTTCTAAAGCCTAATTATATTATTCCCATCTTTAATAATATATCCAAAAGTATAATTATTAATTTTGTTCATTTGTAATTCACAATTCCATAGTTTCAGTAGTTTTAGGATTCACTAAAATATTATAAAAAGACCAAGTTTATCATAAAAGATAGTTAATTTGATTGATAAAACTATTTATTCGCATTACTTTTATAATTATAACCTGACAGTTAATTAAGTGCTCAAAATAATAAACCTGAACAAACCCCCATGTTCTTGTCGACTAGACAAATATTTTGTATTAGTTAAATTTCATAGAAAACATACTTCATAACGATATTGATAATGGGTCAGTTAAAGTGACAAAATAAGCATCTTAAAGATAGTAGAAAATTGCGAGAATGTGAACAAATAAAATTATTACAGGATCTTATAAATAATCCTTTATTGATGCTTGATTATCTGATTCCAAAATTCTCACAATTAAACGATAATGATTTTAGTTTTTTAATAAAAAAAATCCTTGAATCCTGAGAAATGAATACTTACGTTCAAAAACAACTGCTTGATCATCTGATTCTATCATTCTCACAACTAAATGATGATAAATTTATTTCTACAACAAGAAAACTCTTTGAATCCTGAGAAATGAACATCTATGTTCAAAAAAAATTCAATAATATCTTTATATATATTTGTAACTTACCTAACCGACAAATTTTCAATGCGTTAAATCTCTTCTAAACCATGGTCTATTCTCAAGGCATTCATAAAAAAAAGATAATTTCTATTTATTTACAAAAAAAGGTATGTGAATTTATTAATACTAGTCTTCATCAACAAAATTATACTATTGGCACGTTAGAATTAAAAAAT